CATTCTGTGAGTCCAGCATTACCCTGATGCCAAAACCAGACAAGGACACAACAACAACAAAAACTATAGACCAGTATCTCTGATGAAAATAGACACAGAAATACTAGCAAATGGAACCAACAACACATCAAAAAGATAATACACCATAATCAAGTAAGTTTTATCTTAGGAATGTAAGGGTGGTTCATTATACACAAATCAATAAATGAAATACATCATATCAATAGAATGAAGGACAAAAACCTTATGATCATGTTGATTGATATAGAAAAAGCATTTGATAAAATTCATCATTAATGATAAAAAGTCCCAACAAATTAGGCACAAAAGGAACATACCTCAGCATAATAAAGGCAATATATAACAAACCCACAGCTGACATATACTGAATGAGGAAAAGCTGAAAGTCATTCCTCTAAGAACTGATACAAGACAAGGATGCCTATTTTCACCATTGTTGTTAAACATAGTACTGGAAGTCCTTGTCAGATAAATCAGGCAAGAAGAAATAAAAGTCATCCATTTGGAAAACAGGAAGTTAAATTGTCCCTTGTAAGAGATGACATGTTTGTATATATAGAAAAACCTAAAGACTCTACCAAAAAAATCTTAGAACTGATAAACTAATTCAGTAAAGTTGCAGGGTACAAAAGCAACATACAAAAAGGGGTAGCATTTCTATACACCTGTAATTAACTAGCTTAAAAGGGAATCAAGAAAGCAATCCCCTTTACAATAGGCACAAAAAATAAATAAATAAAATACCCAGGAAAAATATTTAATCAAGGAGGCGAAAATCCTCTACTGAGTAAACTACAAGACACTTATAAAAGAAATTGAAGAAGACACAATCAACCTGAAAGACATCCCATGCTTATGGACCAGAAGAATTACAATTGTCAAAATGACCATACTACCCAAAGCAACCTACAGATTCAGTGCAATCCCTATCAAAATACTAATTACATTCTTCACAAAAAATAGGAAAAGAAGTCCTAAAATGTGTGCAGAACTACAAAAGAGCACAAGTAGCCAAAGCAATCCTGAAACCCAAAGAACAAAGCTGGAGGCTCACACTACCTCACTTCAAAATATACTAGAAAGCTATACTAACAAAAATAGCATGGTATTCATATCAAAACAGATATGTAGACCAATGAAACAGAATAGAGAATCCAGAAATAAATCTACATATTTACAGGCAACTAATTTTAGACAAAGGTGCCAAGAATATATTTTGGGAGAAGGACACCCTCTTCAATAAATGGTGCTAGGAAAACCGGATATGCATATGTAGAAGAATGAAAGTAGGCCCCTATCTCTGACCATATACAAAATTCAACTCAAAATAAATTAAAGGCATGTAGATAAGACCTGAAACTATAAAACTACTAACAAAAATATGGCAAAAACTTCAGGACATTGGTCTAGGCAAAGATTTTATGACTAGCACTTTAAAAATACAGGCAACAAAACCAAAAATAGACAAATGGGACTATATTAAACTAAAAAAGCTTCTGCACAGCAAAAGAAACAATCAGCAGAGTAGGGAGAAAATATTTGCAAACTATTTATCTAGCAAGAGACTAATGTCCAGAATATACAAGTAACTCAACTCAATGCCTGTAATCCTAGCATTTTGGGAGGCTGAGGATGGAAGATTGCTTAAAGTCAGGAGTTTGCGACTGGCCTGGGCAACATAGTAAGACCCTGTCTGTACAAAAAAATAAAAATATTATCTGGGTGTGTTGGTGTGTGCCTGTAGTTCTAGCTACTCAAGAGGCTGAGCCAGGAGGATTTCTTGAACCCAGGAGTTTGAGGTTGCAGTGAGCTATGATCAGACCACTGCACTCTAGCCTGGATGACAGAGTGAGATCCTGTCTCTCTCTCTCTCTCTCTCTCTCTATATATATATATATATATAAATTAAAAAAAGGAAAAAAAGTGGACTAGGACATTAATAGACATTTCTCAAAAGAAAACATACAAATGGCCAACAGATATATAAGAAAATGCTCAACATCATTAATCACCAAGGAAATGCAAATCAAAACTACAGTGAGATGTCATCTCACCTTAGTTAGAAAGTTAAAAAAAATAATAACAAATACTGCTGAGGATGTAGAGAAAAGGAAACTTCTTGTACACTGTTGGTGGAAACATACGTTAGTACAGCCATTATGGAAAACACTATGGAGTTTTCTCAAATGACTAAAAGGAGAGCTACCCTATGGTCCAGCAATCCCACTACTAAGTAGTACTAAAGGAAAAGAAATCAGTATTTCAAAAGGATACCTGTACCCCCTGGTTTTTGCAACACTATTCACGATAGCCAAGATATGGAATCAACTTAACTATCCACCAGTGGATGAATGGATAAAGCAAATGTGATATACATATACAATAGAATACTATTTAGCCATAAAAAAATAAAATCCTGACATTTTCAGCAACGTGGATGGAACTGGAGGCCATTGTATTAAGTGAAATAACTCAGGCACAGAAAGACATAAAATATCACATGTTCTCACTCACATGTGGGAGCTAACATATTTGATCTCATGGAGGTAGAGAATAGGGAGATGGTTACCAGAGGCCAGGAAGAGTAGAAGAGGGGGGATGAAGAGAGATTGGTTTAATGGGAGGAAACATACAGTTAGAAGGAATAAGTTCTAGTGTTCAATAGCACAGTAGGGTGAATATAGTTAACTGTATATTGTATATTTCAAAATAGCTAGAAGATATGAAATGCTTCCAAAACAAAGAAATGATAAATGTTTGAGGTGATAAATATCCTAACCACCCTAATTTGAGTATGCGTGTATCAAAATATATGAACCCCATACATTTGTGCAATTATCATTTATTAATAGATTTTTTTTAAAAAGCCTTCATTGGCTCCCAATTGTAGCAGCAATTTGCAATTTTTTTCCCTCTTTTGACAAGCAAGCATGATAGGTGATGGATACTGTTCATCTGAGCAACTCTATTCACATCCACTGCTATACCCAGGATTATTTGCAAATTCAGGCATGCCAGCTGTAACTCTGCCTCCCTTCTCTCCAATTTAGGGAGGCATATTACAATACACAGGAATGAGAATGATATTCTCATGTACTCTAATATATTTCAGAATTAAATTATTCCCCAACCCTGTGTTTTACTGCTGCTAATAAAGTATTTGCAACATGCTTCAAAATTAATCATACTAGATAGAGGTTAAGACACCATGGCTAGAAACTACATTCTCATTGGTAAATTCAGACTCCTTTGTGTGCTATACATATTCCGATTTGAGTCTAAACCACATCTCAGGGTCTGCTAGTCTAGTCCCCATGCCCCCGATCCCCACCTGGCATACACAAATATCCTTTCCAGATTAATTAAAAATCTTGAAACACATTCTGCAATTATAGCATCCTCACTTTTGTTCTTTTTGACTGAAATACTCTCTGCCCACTTCTACATTTGATTAACCCCACCTTACATTTAAGTGAACACACAAATGTTTGTTCTTCTGGAAGATGTTTTGAGTAGACCTTATTCCCCCTCTATTCCAGCCCAAGTCTCAGGAAGGATTTTGAGTTTTCTCCTGTGTTCCTATACTACTTTGTGTCATAAGTATTTGATTCCTGTTTTATTCTCATCTTGTCCTATTATATCCCTGCCCAGTTATATCCTTATTATATCCCTTTATTCACCAAGGACAAAAACTATGTTTTATTTCTTTGTGTTCCAAGAATCTAACATGGTGCCTTACATAGAAAATACTCTTACGGAATATTTGTTGAAGATGCTTCAGCAAAGGCAGAATTGATCTAGGCATCCTGTTGATTGTTCTATGTTTTGTTAATTTTTATTAAAGAAAAGATTAAATGTTCAAGGACAAAAATATTTTGAGTGAAAAGGTACTTTTTCCCATTGTATAGTTGACAGAATTATTTTAAAAGTGCTTATTCTCACACCAGCATCCTCTTGGCCATGAGCTTCCCTTTGTTCCCAGTCTTTAATGCCTATCTTTGAGGATTTCAGTGAATGTTGTCACATCCTCCAGAGGGTGGGCAGAAGAAATGAGACTCAAATTGCTGCTTTTCTGCTTCTCAGCATTTCTGTTGAAGCATTTGAGAGGGAAAGAAATACTGACACTGTTACAATAGCTTTCACAGTTACCATCTTAACTTCATATCCTCAATTAGTATAAATACATACATCATACCTCTTTATTCATGAGCATATTTATAAAAGGTATTAACACAAATGAACCCCCTTATTCTCTAAGGATAAATGTGTTCTGATCGGAAATGAGAATAATTTGGAAACCATTCAGTCACAGAGTTTCTGTCATTTTTCCTTCTCTCATTTTAGGAAACAAAGATAAATAGTAAAAGAGTGTCCCATTCTTATAGAAACACTGAAGTTAGGAGAAATGAGATTCGTATCTTACATAGTTCCTTGTACAAGAGATAATTAAAAAATGGTTTATTATGGGAACTATTGTATATTTAACATCCAGAATTTATGTAAGAGGTAGATAGATCTATAGATAAGGAAGGGGGGAGGGAGGGAAATACACAAAATGACAGGCTTATTGCCCATTCTTGCTGTTTATTTACAACATTTAAAAGCTTTGTATTAAAATGATGCCATCCATGTTGTCATATTTTCCAAATATTTTAAAGTAAGAATCTTCTCAAAAAGAAGGCTATCTAAAGTTTGCTCTTTCATGACTTAAGGGTTAGCTGGTTTTACAAGCATCTTATCAACAGCAAAACAAAAAACGAGATAGTCACGGTACAAGTTCACAGTCACTTATTCTGTTTCACAGCCTAGGAAGCTATGTGGCATGTGCATGTGGTATATTTTACATAGAGCATGGCTTGATTCTTTTGTTTTATTTATTTGTATCACTGATGTTACCCGCATGAGCTTCTTGTAACTATTGTAAATCTTCAAGAGGCTGGCTTTCATTTTTACACTAAATTTATCGATTTATCTTTTAGAGTTCCATGTAGAAGAGGCACTGGATTGGCCTGGAGTGTACTTGTTACCAGGCCAGGTTTCCGGGGTGGCTCTGGACCTTAAAAATAACCTGGTGATTTTCCACAGAGGTGACCACGTCTGGGATGGAAAGTGAGTAATATTTTTTTCTTTTAAGCAGTAAATGAAAATAAAAATAGTGTACATCGGTTTTCATTAAGCTAAAGATAATTATGAAAGAACTGTAAAGGTTCTTTTAAACTTGATTTTCATGAGCAATACATATTTGTCCTTTTAATGTATGACTTAATAAGTTACCAGCGAGGAAGTCTTGTGCATTTCAAAATAAAGTAGTTTCACCAACTAGTTTATGGAAAGAAGGCAATAACAACCTGTGATTCTGCCTACTTTCCATTCTGCTCCTTCATCCTTGAAGCTACCTTCACTTCCTAAGGGAAATAACACTAAAGGTAGTTCAGTTAATGCAGAAAATTTAAAGACTTCAAAGAAAGTGAAAAGTGATTAACTGAGAAAGGTTACTGGTTGACTATAATAAAGCACTTTGTTATTTTCATGTCCTGGGTATAGAAATGTTTTAAGTTCATTGGACTCTCCCTTTTCATTGGACCACTCCATGGCAAGTGATGACAGCCTTCTGGACATTGGAGTTGGAGCAGTTTGGCTACCACATGTGTAGAAATATTAACTTGGCATTCCATTTTAACATAGATCAATTTTATTACTCAAATTAGAACTGCCTAATACCACTACTTTATCCTCTGTGTTTCCCTTTCCAATCTTTCATTCTATCTTCTACTACCTTCTTAGAGGGCTTTTTAGTAAAATTGTCTAACATTTATCAAGTGTTTCCTGTTGGCCTATCACTATTCCAAATGTTTACATTAATTACCTCACAGTAATAACAGGCACTGTTATTACCATCATCATTCACATTTTACAGATGAAGAAACCAAGAGAAGTAAGGTGTTGTGCCCAAAGTCTCACAATTTGCAAGTGGCAAAGCCAGGCCTTAGTTGCTTTCAATCTACTGTCTTCCCCCCAAAATAAGACAGGGTCTTATATTTATTTTTCCTCAAGAAGACACCCTAGGGCTTATTTTCAGGGGATGTGTTATTTTCCCCTCAAAGCCTCAGCTTGCAGCATGCACAGGACGGCCGGGACCTGGCAGGGGGAGCCGACCTTGTTGGTTGGGCTACCCACACCTTTCCTATCACCTCTGGGATAGTAGCTGTCACGATGGGGCAGATGAGCAGGGCTGCTCGTCTTCTTTACCGCTCCACGACGAAATGCCTGGGTTGTGCAGATACACTGCGTAGCCACACCCAAAACTAGGTCTTATTTTGGGGGTAGGGCTTATGTTGCGCAAATGCTTAGGAATCCTGCTAGGGCTTATTTTATGGGTAGGTCTTATTTTCGGGGAAACACGGTAACTCTGGACTTGGCCCACTTACCCACTTTAATTGAATTGTAAGCACATTCACATGATTGTATTTTACTCCAAATTTTGGCAGGTGATTTTAGTTCTCTTGAATAATGAATATCCATTATTTATTTATTTTATTATAAATTTACATATAAAGTCAAATTTTAAAATCCCTGATCAGTTAAGTCTGATGGACCTTCTTTCACATGTACAACTATAGGGTCTCATTTGGAAAATTAGGTCTACATGTATCATTCAATCATTTTCCTCCATTTTCAGAGATGTTGAGTAAACTTATGTTAAACCTGCTCTGTCACATGTACATATATGTAGTTTTCTTTGTGAAGTTGGAGATGGAAGTCAATCAACGTTTCAAAATAGATTGGTAACAGCTTTGTTACTGTTTAATTGTCCTTTCCAGTTGTCACACTTGAAAATGGAATCTGAAAAAGATCACTTTGGAGTTTAGAACAAACAATGGAACTCAACATTCTCATTCATATGTCTCTGTTACATCGTCTTATAGTCATTATTGAACATCTAATGGCATTTTAACAAGTTCTTTAAAAGCAAACCATTACTATTCATTGTAGTATATTCTTCATTTTAATGAATATTGCTACATTTTCTGCATGGATTTCTAGCCACATTTTACCAGACGAGAAAATTACAGCATCATTTTCTCCTGTTGATACTGTTTCAGCTGGCTAAAGCTAAACTGGATAAAGTCCAATTTTCCACTTTAATATGATATTCATTCCAAGTAAACAACAGAGGCTGGAATAGTTTAATAGAAAAAAGGATCAGGAAAGGCCAGCATTGAGTAGGAGATGACATAGGACTGTGAAGCAATAACCATATAAGAACATTTTCTACTGCTTATATATGACAGTGCTAGCTGAAGAACTGCTTTTTTCCTGGCACGTAGCTTTCATCTAGATAACCAGATATCCTGTGGAAGTAGATTCTAGTTTTGCTGCCAGAGCAATGTGTATTTGCCTGATGTGTTCCCTGGTGTGTTTGCCCTGATAAATGTCGTCAACAAAGGGTGCTGTTGAAAATGCAAGACTTCTCCGGAGCAGACTGCTGATTTTATTCATTAAATATCTGTTTTTTCTTTCTCCTTCATCTTTATCTTTCAGATATAAGAATATTTGTCATCTCTCTTTCCTTCTCCCTTCCTGGTGCTACCTATTGACCCCTAGCAACCTTTGCAATCCATGATTATAAGGAAATTCTTTTCTGGCACTCAGATCTCTGCTTCCAACCACTCTTTGCTTTATTATTGGTGAAGAGAATTAGAGGTGGATTACTCTTTTTCTTTGTAGAAAAATGGATACAGATTTGTTCAAAGAACAAATTAGATTCTGATTTCTTTGAATGGTTGTACATGACCATCCTTCCCACATATATGAGTTATATTATATAAATTGGACAAAGTACATAGTTTTTCTTTTCCTTCATTGAAAATCCAAGTATTGTGCAAAGAAAAAGGTATGAAAATGACTACACCTGCTTTCTTTTGGTTTCCATCTGCATAGAATATTGTTTTCCATCCCTTCACCTTGAGTTTGAATGAGTTCTTGTGAGTTAGATGTGTTTCCTGGAGACAACAGATACTTGGCTTCTGTTTTTTTATCCATTCAGCCAGCCTGCATCTCTTGAGTAGGGAATTCAAGGCATTCACATTTATTGAAAGAATTGATAAGTGGGGTGCACTTCTGTTCATCCTGTTGCATAGAACCTTATTGCTTTGTTTTACCTCCTGAGCCATTATTTTATATGGGCTCTGAGCTTTAGTTTTTGGATGATTTTACACTGGTGGGTTTCTTCTGTGCTGATCCAAGTATTTTAATGCAGATCTTCTGCCTACAGGGTAAGTCTGGTCTTGACAAATTCCCTCAGTGTTTGCTCGTCTGAGAAAGTCTTTATTTCTCCATCATATAAGAAACTTTGTTTTACAGGATACAAAATTCTAAGCTGGCCATTATTCTATTTAAGTAGACTAAAGATGGGGCCCCAGTCCTACTGGCTTGTAAGGTCTCAGTTGAAAAGTCTGTAGTTAGGCAGATGAGTTTTCCTCTATAAGTTAATTGATGTTTTCACCTTATGACTGGCAGGAATTTCTCCTTCATGTTAACTTTGGCAAGTCTGATGACTGTGTGTTGTGGTGATTGCCTCTTTGCAATAACTCTCCCAGGTGTTTGTTGAGCTTCTTGTACTTAGATATATAAATTTCTAGCAAGACCAAAGAAGTTTTTTTCAATTATTCGTCAAATAGGTTTTCCAATCCTTGTGTGTTTTCTTCTTCACCCTCGGGATGTCTATAATTCTTATAGACAGCCTAGTTGACTGCAACCTCAAACTCCTGGGCTCAAGCAATCTTTCTGCCTCAGCCTACTGAATAGCTGGGATTACAGGCATGCACCACCATATTGGCTAATTTTTTATATAGATTTTTATTTGTCCAGCTAATTTCTTTCTATTTTAGTAGAGACAGGGTCTTGCTCTTGCTCAGGCTGGTCTCAAACTCCTAACCTTGAGTGATCCTCCCGCCTTGGCCTCCCAGAGTGCTAGGATTAGAGGTGTGAGCCACTGTGCCCAGCCTCTGTTCTTTATCTTTGATTGACTTATTTAATTTGAAGGTATTGTCTTGAAGCTCTGAGATTATTTCTTCTGGCTGGTCTACTCTATTTTTAAGACTTTCCCCTGTGTTTTGTATTTCCTTGAATAAATTTTTCATTTCCAGGAGTTCTATTTGATCTTTTTTTTTTAATAATTCTATTTCTTTAGTAAATTTATCATTCATTTCCTGAAATGTTTTGTGGTTTCTTTGTATTGGTTTTTCATTTTCTCTCGTATTTCACTGAGCTTACTTATAATCTATATTTGGAATTCTTTATCTGTCATTTCAATATTCTGATTTGGGTTGATATCCATTACTAGTGAGCTGGTATTCCCTTTTGGGGATGACCATTCACTCTGATGCTTCATACTTCCAGAGTTCTTTTCCTGATTCCTTCTCATTGACAAGGAAAGAACCCTCCCCAACTCATTCTACAAAACCAGTATCACCTTGATACCAAAGCCAGGAAAAGACACAACAAATAAAGATGGTCATGCTGGAGACTCAGACTTGTGGGGGGAGGGGGGGAAGGGCATTTATTGAAACCTTAAAATCTGTACCCCCATAATATGCCAAAATAAAAAAAAAAAAAAAAAAAAAAAAAGAAAATTACAGACCAATATCTCTTGTAGATGCAAAAATTCTCAATCAAATTCTAGCAAACTGAATTCAACAGCACATCAGAAAAATAATCCATAACAGACAAGTGGGCTTCATCCCAGGGATGCAAGGATGGTTCAACATACATAAATCCATAAATGTGATTCACCACATAAACAGAAGCAAAAACAAAGATCATATAATCCATATAATTATTTCAATAGATGCAGAAAAGCATTCAACAAAATTCAGCACCCTTTTGTGATAAGAATGCTTAACAAAATAGACATAGACCGGACTTACCTCAAAATGATAAAAGCCACATATGACGACCCACAACCAACATCATACTGAACGCAGAAATATTGAAAACATTCCCTCTTAGAACTGGAACCAGGCAAGGTTGCCCTGTATCACCACTTCTATTCAACATAGTACTGGAAGTCCTAGCCAGAGCAATCAGACAAGATAAGGAAATCCAGG